TTTAATTTTACCTATAAGAAAACAAGAAACTTTTTTAAACTTAATTTGAGTTAAAAAGTTAATATTAAATTTTGGTTAACTCTTAACTTAATTCAATTGATAGAAMATTTTGAATTAACTTTTAACKATTAACTTGATTTAGATTTTAATTTAACTTAACTTAACTGAGTTAAAAAAAATCATTAACTTGCCCAGCCTTGATTATAATAAATAATTTTTTTTTTTAACGTGTAAAAGCACAATGACAAACGCCACGCATTAAGTCTCTAAAAGCAAAGATTGATGAAAAACACACACCACACACAGGTGAAGTTCCACGCCGTAGGACCCGCCTACAAGTTTCTGTTTTCTGCATTATACGGTTTATGAGTCCTACGAAATTTAATCGAACGCGCAATAATGATCTGCAGACTAAATACACATATATATGTGTCTATGCATTTTCATAAATCACCTAATCGAATTAGTATTATTATATGTCCTAGTGGATAGGTTTTTAAAACGGTAATAATATTTGAGCCACATATGATTACCACACTATATGTTGTATAAGTATTAATTATAATATTATAGTATATAGACATCTATGGCGCGATGTATGAAATAATGATAAATATTAATTAATGTCAATGAGACAACAAAATATTATAATATTAGAGATAGMTAATAAATAGTAATAGTATAAAAACTATCTTCGACCGATTTTTTTTTATAAAAAAACAAACAAAAATCAACCAATATAATATGGTATTAATAACCATGACAACGAAAGTCGGAGTACACGAACACAGTTTAATTAAACAAGCAAGGTCGTATAGAAAACTACTAAACGATTTCTGCGAAGAATGTTCGACCATATTTTAGAAAAAAWTTAATGGGTTAATAGACTGATGATAAACTCCATCAATATATTATTTTGTGTTGTTCAATAATTAGTGAGGTGAGTTGGATAAGATGTTTAATGGATCGTGTGTCACCGCTGTATCACTATATAAGATCGCTTGAGAAACACAACTATACGAAAATATCTTGCAGATATCGCTGTTTCGGCAAGATTATCCGCCAAGGAGTATACCTATAATGGATATTTATCACTAAGCTAGATACCAGACAACGTGTATATCACCATTAATACGAGTCAYGAAAACCRTTTGAATTSCGACTAAGTATTTGAAATTAAAAATGTGACAGAATATTGCATATTGTAATTTGATAACGATTTTCAACCATAGATTTAGTTGATTTAATAATATAAAGTTCAAATTTCGTACTCATTGTTTTATCAATATATTCACTTTCGAATTTTTCTTTTTTATTATTATTGTACGTCGTTCAAATACTGTAACGTCTTCAGCGATTAAACGTTTTGATATAGGTACATTATATATATATATATATATATATATTATGATTTTGGGCAGAGTAAATTTTTTTTTTAACCTAATTTCGCGACACCGATTTTTTTAACGCTTTGTTTATCATCTACGCCAATTTTAGCATGACGAAAAACACATCTGTGTTTCGTCGATTTTTCTTACGGAGGAAAAATATCTAATACCATTTATTACTTATAATAATATATCCAAACGATATTTCTTCACGCATATGACCTACGYGGCATATATTATTATGCGTTATTCTTATTTGTCTTTGAAATATCCTAAATTTTAATAGGTAACATGAATTACCTGCGCGGAATATATCTCCACAACCGTCGCATCTAGCAGCAAATTGAGTGTCGTAGCAATTTCCGCAATAGATTTTTTCCACTTTTGATCCAAACTGTTTGTCCACCAACGAAACGCGACATTTGCTGCACAAGAAACAAGCTTCGTGCCAATGTTTATCCTTGTACGACAAATCCTGAAAAATGACCGCCATACGTATAAATAATATTATATCGATACTGATTATTATTATGCAGAGGGTTCGCAAGATTATAAATAATATATAATATATTGGCCCAAAAGTCGCRGCCCGAATATCCGGTCGCTATATTATAATGTAACCAAGATCGGTTGACGGACGTACTTTAGAATCGATTCCGATGGTCTTGTCGCATTCGTCGCACGGGTTGGCGAACACAGATTCGTAGCATTTGATGCAATACGGATGATCGTCTCTGAGCACATATCTCTGTCCTGTTAACGATTCGTCACATTGCCAGCAACAGAAATGACCGGAATGCCAGTCCTTGTTCATAGCCTTGGTGTATTCTCCACTGAAAATTAACTAAAAAAAAAACAACAAAAAACAATCGATATAATTTACGAAAAACAATTATTCATAAATAATGATACAAATACGACTATTACAACTGACTATGATATTATGATTTATTGTGTAACGTCGAATCAACTAGTGTAAGTTCGTATATTTTTCATTCAAATACATCACAATAGATCAAAAGCTATATGTACCTACAAACGTATCAAATTTTATAACAGCAATAATCGTCGGTTTCAAAAGAGTTTCCGAAAAATAATATATATTTTATCAAACACACAATGATTCATCGGTCTAGTAGATATCAGCAGAATGCTCAACAGGGATATTAATAGCCCGTTTATTGTTTAACGAATTGCTGGTGTGAATTAGACCTGAATGCGTGTATAGGGGATTAATAATACTGTATTGAGGATTAAATGTAACGGAATTCAACGAAGCATTAAAAATATTATTCGAGCCGCATCAAATTAACAAACATCCATCATGTTTAATTTTTTTTTTAACAAAAACTATTATTGGACTCTAAGGTCTTTTTGAGCAATGTACAACCCTCGTGGGGGGTATTATGCGTTGTTTCATTCATTGGTTTTGTCGATTTTACCACAAGTTGTCCGTAACTTTGAATTGAAGTTAATGAAATCGCCACACTTTCAATTCTTTTTTTAGAGCTTTTTAGAAAATGTCAGAGTTGAACAATTTGCTAAAAAATAATCAAACYTACAAATAGGTATAGAAACCACGCCCGCATAAAATGTTTTCTGTTCACGCGATCATAGTATTACTCGTATATTGGTCGTATCTTTTGACCTTTTAATTCAAACGCGCCGATATCATCGAGGTCGTGGAGTTCACAAGTATCAATTTTTATTTTCTTATAAATCGTCAAAATAACCTATGTTGTCATAATCCAAGTATGATGGGTACGATAAACCTAAATCTAAGCACTTTCTGACCACTCGCTATTACTCAATTTCCAGTGTCCTCTACCATTATTAGACTAGACGTTAAATRGACAATGTCCTTTCTCATATTATTTCGTTTGATAAATAATTTTAATTATGGAAACATTTTTTGATTATTGTACTTTGGTTATATAAAATATATATTCTATCGATATTAATGTACCTAGTTATATTGGTTAGTAGCTGGGTGTATATTATAAATTAAAAATGAATCCATTTAAATGCAATACCTATCAGAATATTTTTAATGATTTGAGGTTTCCAATATAAAAAATAATATCACAAGACACAATGAAAAATAATAAATTTTGATTACGTTTATTTTTTTTTACATCAGAAGATAATAAACCTTGGAATGATGCCATATAAAATCTGTTCATTTTCATTAAAAACATTATGTAGAAAAATTTAGTATTTAAAACATAATTGCTATTTGCTACACAACATATATGTGTTCAAATATTAACATGTGTATTATAATTGATAAATATTTGATTATCTTTCAAAAATATCTATACTGTGTGTCTTAAAAATAAAAATTCGATATTTTTAATGTTTTTCTCGAAAATTTCGCAATTTAAAAAACGACTTGTACCCGTGTGGTGGTGTTCTATTTGAGAACAACTTATAGAGGTAAAGCATAACACTTTTTAATATTTTTATCACAAATAGTGTATTACCGAAAGTAAAAGTCACACTTCTTTGGACAGTTGTTGCTTTTTCGTTATTTCATTCAGAATCTAAAATACTTACCTATCTACTCGTACTAAAGATTTTTCGATTTTTGGAAGAAAAAATTAATTTTTTTTCATAATAAATTAAATACAATACTACGTTTTATAATGCAAATATCTACAGCTTACAATGTTTACATGATGAATTTATAAATGTATATATATACATATATTTTTATTTTTTTTATATTAATTATTTTAGTTTTTAAATGGATTTCGAGTCAAAAGATGAAATTCAATTAAATTCAAGTAAGAAATGGGAATTTGTTTTATTRATAATAATAATTTACCATCATTTATTTGACCTCCGCTAGTACATGTCTACGATTGAGTTTTAAATATGTGATTAGCATAAGAATATTATTAAAAAAAAAATTAAGAATGGCAACGAATTCAAAAAATTGTTTATGCATCTCATCGAACAACGTTTTGATTTTAATTTTTTTAACGAGAAGCTTTGTTGTATTGTGTTATGCGTTTTWATTTTATTTTTTACGATCATGCAGAATATTAATAGATAATTCTTATGCACCGTTTAATGCACCACAGTTTATTTTGAATATGAAGTTCATGGACCGAAACTATTTTATATTTAAACAGAGAGCGTATTTAATAAACGAAGAGAAAAACTTGAAAAATGTATCTACACTTTCATTGACTTTTCTAACACCTTGTACAATACATGAAGGAAGAACTTTAACATGAACATCGAACAAACATAAAATGGGATTACTAAAATGTTGTTGAATAAACTCAATAATTTATTTGTATCGAAAGCCCATATTAAAATATATTTAATTGCTGAAATCCAATGCTTTATTTTTCATTTAAACTAATAAATAATTCATAAGAATAATTTTAACTTCATAGTTTATTATAATATATACATGTGTTACACACCATAAAAAAATYAATAAATTATTATTKCTTCAAACCTATGAACACATGGCGTTTTCATTAATTAGGTACTATATAGGTAGGTATATATAATTATGTATATTTAATTATAATTAAGTCTCCATAAAAATTAAACGATAATAATATTGTTTGTGTCGTTTGAAGCCATTTGTAAATCTGTCTAAATGAGCGTGTTTACAACTTGACATAAAAAAAAATTATGACTACTACGAGCCAACGATACATTAATTGTATACTATAGGTGCCTGTTTTTAAAATTAGAGCGCTAATGTTAATAGTTGTCATATACTAATTTATGACACAAAATATTACCGAGCTAATAAATAACCTACCTAAAAAATTAATAAATAATGATTTTTATGTTCAAATTTTAATGAAAAAATGTAAGTTGAAATATTATTTTTATACGCTTAAAATTAATAAACTTCTGTTAAGACCGATCTTGTTCAATGCAATAATAATAATATGTAATATATAGGCAGATACGTAATATTATATTGGTATGATCTTACCTAACTAAAAACAAGTAGTATGAGAAATTAATATTTTAGTCAAGAAGTAATTTTGTTATAAAAGTGTAAGCACGTTAATTCAAATAATGGTAAAGGAAATCGGTACACATGCGTATTACATAGAAAGATGAGTTTTTATCAAAAATAGAAAATATTTTCTGACTTGATAACCAAACGTTTTTCTAATTAATGTGTGATATATAATTTATATTTACAAATTATTTCGAATTTTATGTTTATCTTTAAACATAATAAATAATTGATTGCTGTATTTAAAAAATAATTTTAAATAACTCGTGTTAAAATGAAAATTACGGTTGTAAATTGTTATAATTACAAAAATAATCTACCTAATATATTTTAATAATTAAGTCAGTCCCAGGCTAGTCACATAGCTATAATACATATAGTACTTGGGTAAAATCATATACACCATATTATGTGATATGACGTTTGGGTGGATTATAGTTTTAGAATTTACTTTTGTAAGTAAAGTAAGTAAGTTTTTACTTAACATAAAAGTATAATTATAACATCATTAATATAAATTATTTATAAATATTTCAACTAACACTTTTAAATCAATTTATAATAAGAAAAAAATTTCAATGAACAAGCAAAATTAATTTTTTCGATTAACGTATGTAAAACAAATTTCATTATTATTCATAATTATTTAACTAGTTTTGAAGAAAACATTTTTAATAAAAGGATGAATACGACGTCATGAGTACAGGCTTATTAATAATTTAATGATTAATGTTAAATGTTATTACTAATTATTAATATGTTATATGATTAACGTAATATAATCACCCATTATTCTTACAGATATTATTTACAATGTTATGTATGTTTAGTAGTAACACATAAATTAATTATTATTAATTACCCCTAGATCCATTTAATTTTTTAGGTTTCATCATAATAATAATGTTACATTACAACTTTGGTTTAGATTTATGTCGTATCAGTTTACCATTTAGCCGTTACTTTAACTATTATAAGTGGTACAGAATTATAATTTTTCGCAACTGTGAATAAGTTTCTTTACCATCCTATCATAATGACGTTATTAAGCCGATAAGATTTATAATTTAAAATCGTAATAAATCATACGTTTTTATAATAGCGAGTTGTAATGTTATGATAAAATAATATATCAATACTTTTTCTTACCAATAATATATTTGTCAGACAAGAGGTATTTTCCGATCACACGTAAAAAAACAGTGTAAAATGTGATGAAAACAAAAAAATATAACCATTAAACATTTTTTAAGAAAATTTAGTAAAAAAATACATTTACTGAGTTACGTTTTTAATAATTCAAATTGAAATATTAAACGATAACGTTTTAAGAGATAAAATTATACTTGTTGATTATTTTTTTTTAATTAAGTGGCTCTCGGGAAATACCTCTTGTCATCGTGACCATTTTCCGATGGATACACGTTTTCTTTATCCAATTCGGTGATGGTAACTTCACCCTGGTCATTGCTCTCTCTCCTCTTATTTGACGAAGTAGTTTTTTTGGTTTTCCTGACTTTTCTCTCGGTAGTTGTGAACTGGTATTCTACGTCAGCCATGTTAATGTGGTTTTCGAATTAAAATTTTTTAAATCAGTGGTAAACAATTAAACGAAAACGTTTAAAATGAGACGAACTTGCAAGTAAATTAAAAGGTTATGTACAAAAGAAAATGCGAGTTTCCCAATACGTCTAGGCTGCAGCTATCACACGTTCAGACTGCGAATATAGCGTTTCGGTTGGAACGGCGTGTGCAGTGCACTGTCCTCTGCGGTGGGGGAATGTTTCCACCCGAAAATCTATTTTTAAACAAAATCCGAATGAAAACTTCGGACAGGAAATGTGGTC